AACAGTTATAATTACTATAAAATGATAATCGTCAATTCGATCTCACCACAAATTCAAAGTTTTACTACAACGGAAGGGCCTTACAGATAATATCTTACCAATCCAGATTCAAATTCCACCTCCAAGTGTTCAGAATGGATGAATTTTTTTTAAAAGAATGGTTAGTTGTGTTGTGCGCGGCCACCAATCGTTGTGCTTCAAGGAACCAAACCAAGCATCGAGAGAGAAAGACCAAACAATGCAAAATAACAACACAAACACAAACAACTAATTTTTACGTGGTTCGGCAAGTTGCCTACGTCCACGGGACAAGAAGGGGATGTGTTTTTACTAACAGAGAAGAAGAATACAATCTGAGATTACAAATCACTCAAAACAACCAACTAATCTCACTAACAAATCTCTAATTCTCTCCAAAATAAAACCCTAACCAATAGCTCAAAAATATTTTTTTCCTGTGCTCTAAATATCCCACAATTAATGCTTAATCAAAGCCCAATCAAAGCCAAAGAAACCCTAAAAATATGTCTCTGTTTATAACAAAACACAATCCCAAACATATTAGGATTCTAAAAAATAAGTCTGCCACACCCGGGGGTGACAGACACCACACCCCTGAAAACATGGCAGATTCTGCCACACCTGGGTGTGGCAGACACCAAACCCATGTCAACAGAGACAGATTCTGCCACTTGGGTGTGGCAGACACCACACTCATGTCAACAGGGACAAATTCTGCCACCTGGGTGTGGCAGATACCACACCAGGGTATGGTGGAGCCTGTCTTGCTTATTTTTTATGTTTTTCTCAAATTCTTTCGTCGTTTTCATAATTCTCCACGTCAACGAAGTTTTCTTAAAACTAAGCTGATACCAACGAAATCAAACGTCTCACTTATTACGTCCAGTACGAAGTAAAACAAAACCACTACAACGGACTCAATCCACAACAAGTCGAGAACCAAAACGAGAATGCGAACAAACTCTAAATGTCGGTATCAACTCACCAAACCGGCTGCATCATAAATGACTACATACGTATCCTCTTGCCCAAGGAATCAAGTCTTCACGTAGTTCACTTTACGGCCTCCAAAGACCCTCAATAAAATAGAAGAGTTCGCAACCCTTCTCCAACATTATCAACAAATCTGCGGCTGATAGCTCTCCAATGATGCTCATGACAAGTTAAGAAAAAAATATGCAACTAATGTTTTCAATCTTTGCATATGCAGACGTGCATAGCGTGTTATTATGTTAAAGAAAACAAATTAAGAAAGCTAGCACACGTTTTGATGCAACCACAAAAGTTTTCTCTACTTTAAAATGGCATTATTGGTTAGTCGTTCAATAGTCTGCATTAGGGAAGGCAATTTCTGCATGTCCATTTACCCATCTGGCCCGTCCGTCACTTGGCCCGTCCAAAACCCACTCATTTAGTTAAATGAGTCTAATCGGACATGTTTCTCTCAAACTACCCTAAATGGGTATTAAATGGGCGGTATTTATTCACCCAATTGCCCACCCGTCTTCCCAAAACCAAAACCTAGAACACCTAAATCTCTTCTCTTTCTCTTCTCATCGACATCGATCCCGACCCCAATCCCTCCTCCTCCGCCTCCTTCTCCTCCTCCGCCGTCTCAACCACCTCTCAAAATCAGAGCCTCCAACGCTAATCCCTCCTCCTCCGCCGCCTCAACCGCCTCTCAAACCCATAGCCTCAACCGCCGCTCAATCTCAGCCAGGACTCAGCCTCGATCTCCTCTCGACCTCGACCTTGACTCGACCTCGATCTCCGCTTGATTTCAGTCTCAATCTTTGCTCGATCTCAACCTCTACCTCAGCCTGCATCTCCAATCTATCTCCTCTCCTCCGCCTCCAAATCGATCTCGATCTCGACCTTGAGGCGAAACGAGGATCCGCCTCATGAAAAAGAGTTTTAACTTTTTCATCTCCAGCTTCTCTTTACTCAATAATCAGGGCTTTGCACTCCGTCATTTGATCATTTATGTTCCCTCGAATCCCCAAAATGGTGAGGAAATTGCAATATTGAAGTAAATTCTTCTTTTAATTGAATTTCTTAGCAATTTGTTTACAGATTTATACAATAATTTAGCTAAAGATTGCTACTTGATGCATGCCTCCCTTTACCGAAATAATTTATTCTTGTTTATAGAATCTTTGATCAAATAATTGGATTGCTTGACTGCATATGTGCAAAATTAGATTGAAAAAGCTCATAACTTTGATCGGATTGAGCTCTGAGCTCTGAGCTCTGCGATCCCTCGCTGTTTTTCTGATTCTAGTAGCTCTACCTGCTTTGTTCTTAATTTATTTAAGTGTAGCTCCGATTGAGTAAATATTATAGTAGCTCTACCTGCTTTGTTCTTAATTTATTTAAGTGTAGCTCCGATTGAGTAAATATTAATTTTTCGTAATTAATCTCTGATCTTTGTTCTTAATTTATTTAAGTGTAGCTCCGATTGAGTAAATATTAATTTTTCGTAATTAATCTCTGATTCTAGTAGACTCTGCATCATGCGTTTTGGGAGATTCAAAGTAAATATTAGGTAGATAACAACTGTAAATAAGCATATATAGGTTTATAATCAATATCATTCCTAAAAATTTCAAGTAAGATTGCTTCTATAAAATATAATATGAATAGGGCTTCTCGCCCTATTTTTCTCGTAAAAAAAAAGAGAGAGAAAATTTTGCAGTATAAGGGAGAATAAAATTGTTCCTCGTTTAGCTCTACCCAAAAAAAAAAGGATAATTTCAAACACTTGAACTGACCTTTTCTTATATAGGATGAATTAAAAGTCATGATAACCCTAAAAGAAAACAAGATGGTTGATAACTTCATGTTGTGTATTTTTAAAACGAATCATTTTTACATCATCATTATCAATTGCGAGACTCTGTTCATGTTCACTCTATAGTCACACAGCCCAAGTTACGTCCGCACAGTAGGGGTGCATTCGGTCCGGATACGGCTCGGATATGATGCTTACCATATCCATATCCGCTTACCCATCTCGGATACGGATACGGATACGGATATACCTCGGTAAGAAAAACTTATAACCATATCCGCTAAAATCGGATACGGTTACGGATATACATGCGGATATATAAGCGGATATGCATGCGGATACAAAACAGATATGAGAAAACTAGATAGTATTGAGAAAAACATAGTTCATGTGATACAAAAAAGTTCGTTAATATGTCCATTATAACTAAATAGTTAAGATTAGTCATCTTGATCATCAAAATTAACCACAAATCCATAATCTAATAATCGAAACTATCGTAAGAGTATGACTAATATGTATTCGGATATTTCGGATACGGATACGGATATTTCACTACAAAACCATATCCATAACCATATCCTATCGGTTATAGATTTGAGTAACCATATTCGTATCCTAACGGATACGGTTACGGATATTTCATCGGATACGGATACGGTTTAGCACCCCTACCGCACAGCCAACAGCAAACAGACATAAATATAAAATAATATTATTGGGGCCTTCCTGTTTAGTTCTTAAAAAGTTTAATACGATGAGGCGCAGGCGGAAATTTGGATATATAGCGAGGATTGCTCTTGATTTTATCCTCTTTAATTTCATTCTTACCCTTTTCGATTTTTATAAATTCCGTCGCAATTAAATACATAAAATGTGCTTTCCCAAATCTATCGGACGATGGTGTAACTTTTAAAGCTCTTGACCAACTTCAATATAATCACGTATAAATCTCTAATATTAAGGAGTAGGAATACTTAATTATTTCGTTGACTGGGAATAAGTTTGATGACGATGCAAACGGGTCACACACCAGCTTGAAAAATTACGGCCCAATAGAGAATGGGGTAGCCTGTAAAGTCAGCCCAAGGCTATTTCGAAGTTCTCAAGGTTTAATAAGAAGAAAACTTTCCTACTATGCTGATTAGAAAAGTTTCCTATTTTATTAATTAAAAGGAAAAAAAACATACAAAATCACGCAGACAAAATAAAATTTTTGATTCCATGTATAAATGTGTTTAAAAAACCAAAATTTCGGGTCAGCAGGTCAAATGTTTTTTGTCGGCAAGGATTATACTAATTTTGTCCAACTGCCAAAAAAAAATGCTTAATGCGGTGAACAAGGGCAAATTAAAGACAAAGATGATAATAATAAAAAATAAAAAAAATTCACATTGAGATGCCTCCATAAAAATATATAAAATTATAATAAAAAAAATCTAGAAAAAGAAAGTATAAGGGCACATTAATTTTAAAGCTGCCTTTAGTATTTTTGTTGAGTTTTAACTTTTCTTTTATTTTGTTGTGTAGGAACTGTTTTATTTTCTTTTTTTCTTTTTATTATTATTTTAAAAACCAGAAATATTACACATGTGATGATGACAAGCGGGCAACAAGCTGCGCCGCTAATCCTTTCTGAATTGCAAAACTCAACCTACGAAACGCGTACTCAGCCAGAAATCTTTTTTTTGTTGTTGTGTACATTTTTGTTGAGTTTTAATTAACTTTTTCCACGTGAAAGGGTCCAGGGGACCGTTACAACAGCCACGTGTCGGTCAATAATTACAAAATTTATACCTTAAAAGAAACGGAAATTTTTACTCATAATAATTACCCGGCCCCAACGGTAAACTCTCGACACCAACCTCTATAATACAATCCGACTCTCTGTCCTTCTCACAGTTCACAAACACTATAAGCATTTTCTCTCTCTAAAACACTAACTTAATTAGCTTCAAAATCTCCTCTCTCTCTCTCTCTCTCTCTCTCTCTCTCTTCCTCTAGGAGATGGCTAGTATTATTCTAGCTACTATCTTAATGAGTGCAATCTCAAGCACAAGCGCTTACGATTTCTATGTTGGCGGAAAGGACGGTTGGGTTCAAAACCCTAGAGAGGGTTACAATGATTGGGCATCAAGAATGAGATTTCAAGTCAATGACAGACTAGGTATCACCCTTTTTTTTCTGGAAAAAATTACAAAATAGACTTATTTTGTTAAATATTTAGCAAAATAGATCGTTTTGCTAAACATTTAGCATGCAAAATAAATCTTTTTTGGCCTGTTGGCCAAAAAGAAGTCTGTCTTGTTAAATATTTAGCAAAATAGGTCCATTTTGCTAATATTTCTTCTTTTGTTCGCTTATTAATCTCCAGCACGCAGACGATGACACTTTTCTATTTTTTAAACTGATTTAATCAATTCCAGTGTTCAAGTACAAAAAAGAAGAGGACTCGGTTTTGGTTGTGAAGGATCAAGAGGACTACGACTCGTGCAACGTGAAAAAACCTACACAAAAACTCGAAGGAGGCGATTCGATTTTTCAGTTTGGACGATCAGGGCCGTTCTTTTTCATCAGCGGGGTGCCAGATAAATGCAGTGAAGGAGAGAAGATGATCGTCGTGGTTATGGCTACGAGGAACAAGAATACTCCTCCAGTATCTCCTTCGCCTTCTCCTTCTCCTCTCTCTTCACCAACTAAATCG